TGGATGTGGGGTCAATGATGTGACCAGTGGCAGCCTGAGCTTCTAGCAGTTTATCTGCACTTTCTGGAGACACCAGCATCTGTTTCTTGGCATCTGATAAAGACAGTTTTCCTAAAGGTCCAACCACCAGTCCAGCAATTGATCCAGTTCCTTTTAAAGGAATCTTTTTATCCACAGACACCTCTGGGACAGTTTTCTCCCCTTTTATCAGTTGATTAAATGTTGGTTTGTCGATGACGTCACAGTCAAGTAATTGCTTTGCTGTGACAGGCTTTCTTACACCATCAAAGATTAGTTTGGAGGGATCCAACTTTTCAGCGATGGGTAGAAGTAGCAAACCAGTATGAGGTTCAATTTTGCATTTTTTCTTCAAATCTCCATAACTGGCATTTTTCTCTGTGTCTGGGTCGATGTAACATTCTGGGTTCTGACTTAAAGCTTTGCTGATATTTTTATCTAAAAGATTGCGCTTCATTGCCGTGTCTTCAGGAAGAAATACACTCAGATTTGGATCWAGAATTCCTCCAACCGATTTCTGTGCTTGAAGCAGGCGCAACCCAGTTTCCTCATCAATAATTCTTTTCTTCATTGCCTGAAACACTGAGGTAGGCTTGGCTACGTTAGGGTCCTTGTAGCCAATTGCTGCAGCCTCTGCCTCAAGTAGTCTATCCCGATCATTAATGTCCACCACACCTTTGGCACAGGCTTCATCTACGATCAGTTTCTGGTTGGCTTTGGGRTCAATGATGTGACCTGTGGCAGCCTGAGCCTCTAGTAGCAAATCTGCACTTTCTTCAGGCATTAGCATTTGTTTCTTGGCTTCAGCTAAAGACATTTTACCTTGCTTTCCTACTATAACACCAGCAATGGGCCCAGTGCCTTTCAGATTGATGTTTTTGTCGACCGACACCTCAGGAACAGTTTTCTTTCCATTTTCYAGATCTTTAAATGTTGGCTTTTCAAGGACGCCGCAGTCTAGCAGCTGTTTGGCAGTGACAGGTTTCCGAACACCATCAAAAACGAGTTCAGAGGGATCCACCTTTTCAGGAATAGGAAGAAGCAGAAGGCCTGTATGTGGCTCAATCTTACATTTCCTTTTCATTGACATGTAAGTCACCCCTTCCTCAGTTTCTGGGTCTAGATAGAGCTCAGGCCTCTGATTCAAAGCATAGCAGATGTTATCATCAATTAAACTACGCTCAGTGGCTGAGTCTCTGGGAAGGAACACACTGAACACAGGATCTAAGACCCCACCCACAGACTCCTGTGCTTGTAATAGACGCAGAGTTGTGTTCTTGTCAATGAGTCCCTTCTTCATGGCTTGAAACACTGAGAGTGGTTTGTTTGTGCCAGGTCCACTGTATCCTACAGCTGCTGCTTCCGCTGCTAGCAATCTCTCTTTGTCTTCATCATCAACAACTCCTTGATTGCACGCTTCTTCAACTGTCAACTTCTGGCTAGTTCTGGGATCAATGATGTGGCCTGTAGCAGCTTGGGCATCTAGAAGCAAGTCAACACTATCAGGTGGAAGGAGGTTTTCTTTCTTGGCCTCYGTGAATGTCATTTTACAAACAGGTCTACTGCTGGACCCTGGGGTTTTAGGACCTTCAATTATCACCCCAGCTATTGGGCCTGTTCCTTTTAGAGGGACTCTTTTTTCAGTGGAAACCTCAGGAACGGTCTTATGTCCCTTTGAAAGCTGGTCGAATGTTGGTTTGTCCAAAACTCTGCATTCGAGTAATTGCTTTGCTGTGACTGGCTTGCGGACTCCATCAAATATTATGAAGGAAGCATCGGGGGCTGGGGGCTCCCTGGTACTCTTCAGCTCAGTCTCCTTGGTTTGTTTAACAATCATTGTTTCTTTYTGCTCTTTCTGAAGGATTAACAGTTTACTTTTATACTTCTCCTCAAGCTCCCTGAGTTCCCTCATTAGCCTCTCTATCTCACTCTTCAAGGATTTCTTTTCCCGCTCAAGAATATCCTTGTCCGTATCATATTGYCTGATCATGCTTTGTTTTCCGTCACATTGGTCCTTCCAGTAACTCAAATCCCTCTTCACCCTCTCGCTTTCCTCTTGGAAACGTTGCTTGTTGCGAAGCTCAGAATCCAGAGACAATTTTACGCGACTGAGTTCTTCCTCTAGTCTTTGGAGTTGTTCTCTGTCCATTTCCAACCGCTGCAGTTTCAGCAAGAGAGCATCTCTCTCGGTTACAATTTCACTGTACTGGGATTGAAGGGAGTGCATCATTGTTTTTGTCTGCAGAAAAAAAGAAATAGAAAAAATATTAAATATTAGTATACACAGAAATGCATTGATAATTTTCAACACAAACCATTTTTTGGATATAAAATGTGAGAAWTTAATGACACTGAAGATATGTTGATGAGAACACACATACTTGCTCTTGTCATATTTCATCACAATGTCTAATATCATGCTACTTGGTCCATACCTATGTTCTCCATTACAGATGTTCCTCGATACTTAAGTTCCCTGGTACCWATGCTCCCCTTTTATTTATTTTCCCAAWTACCTATATTTCTTAGTACCTACTGTATGTTGCTTTAACCTATATTCCTCAAAACCCATTTTTCCATGACTATATTCCTTGATAYGTATGCTTCTCTTTTATTTATGTTGGATACCTATATGTTTCCCAGGTACCTATGTTGCCTTTTTACCTAGGTTCCCTGGTACTTATGTTTCTCTTTTACCTATATTCCATGGTACTAGTTTGCAGATACAGTATGTATGTTCCCCTTTTACCTATGTTCCCAAGTGCCTATGTTCTCTAGTACCTATGCTTCCTGGCACCTATGGTCCCAAGTACCTATGTTCTTTGTTACCCGTGTTCCCCTGTACTTATGTTCCCATTTTATCTTTGTTCCTCAATACCTATATATCCCAGTACATATGTTACCCTTTTATCTATGTTCCCTGGTACTTATGTTTCTCTTTTACATATACTCCATGGTACTTATGTTTGCAGATATACTATGTACGTCCCCCTTTTACCTATGTTCCCAAGTGCCTATGTTCTCTAGCACCTATGCTTCCTGGTATCTATGTTCCTCAGTACCTATGTTATTTGTTAACGTGTTCCCCAGTACTTATGTTCCCATTTTATCTTTGTTCCCTTTTTTACCTGTGTTCCTCAATACCTATGTAACCCAGTACCTCTATGTTCTCCTTTTACCYATGTTCCCTGGTACTTATGTTTCTCTTATCTATATTCCATGGTACTTGTGTTTGCAGATACAGTATGTATGTTCCCCTTTTACCTATGTTCCCTAGTGCCTATGTCTGCTGGTACCTATGTTTCCTGGTACCTATGTTACCCTTCTACCAATGTTCCCCAGTGCCTATGTTTTCTGCTACCTATGTTCCCTGGTACYTATGTTCTTCAGTGCCGATGTTCCCCTTTACTTATGTTCCTCAGTTTCTTTGTTCCCCAGTACCTGTTCTTTGTTACCTGTGTTCCCCAGAACTTATGTTCCCATTTTATCTTTGTTCCGTTTTTACTTGAGTTTCTCGATACCCATGTATCCCTGTACCTATGTTTCCATTTTACCTATGTCCCATAATTTCTGTGTTACTAAAAATAAAAAATCCTAAAACTATTGCTGATGTAAGTAAAAGTAAAAACATGATAAGCAAATTTGTGTGTTCTTCTCTTATTTGATTTTGCTACCATCTATAAGACACAAGAAATTAAAAAATAAGATAAGGAATTGTTTGTTTACTATTTCTGTTATAGCAGTAAAGCTATAGCTCCAATCCAGCAGAGAAAATCCCTACAATTTATAGCAACCAGACATACAGCAGGTAAAGTAAGTATTGAACACGTCATCATTTTTCTCAGTAAATATATTACTAGAGGTGCTAATGACATGAAATTTTCACCAGATGTC